AAGGTATGCTGGTATTAGTGTTTATTTAGTAGCAGTTCCCACGCTTTAACCCTACTCTAACTCAAAAACCCTGGCCTTTAGCAACCCAATGCACTACTTCTAGAAATGAAGTTAAGTTTGTTATTTAAGTTTACATATACACACATATATGTGGTCAATCATTCACACACACATATACACACAAACACACATATATGTATGCAACTATTCATAAAATTTATTAATAAATTTGAATAACATCAGAAGTTTCATTAATGGAAATATAGTTTCTTAAACTCAGCATAATCTTTATTTGTAAATAGCTTCTACCATGCTAAAATTTTCATAATCCCACTTTCCTCCCTCACCAGCTACTACCAGAATCGCCTTTTTATGGCAAAATTCCTCAAAAGTGCAATGCATTCATTGTATTCAATTCCTCTCCTCCAATTCTCTGAATCCCCTTTAAATCGTTTTCACCCAAACCCACTTCACCTAAACTGTCCTTATGAACATAAGCAATGACCTCCATGTGCCTGAATCCCATGCCCAGGTCTCATTTTTCATCTTATATGTGAGTGTTGTTTGACACAGTCTCCTTTGCCAAGAATGTTCCAGGTTTCAATTCTTGAAACTTTTCTTTTTCCTATTTATAGCCTCTCCTTTTGTCATTATATCCAATATAATGGTTTAACTGCAACGTATACACACAGTCTTCCTTGAATTTGTATCTCAACTCAGCATAAGTTATCTCTGATTCCTCTCTTTCTCTCATATCTTAAAAACAGACTATTTATCAAAATCTTTTGGCTCTACATTCACAATATATTCATTATCTGACCACCTCTCACCACTTTCACTACAACTACCCTGGTCCAAGCTACCATTATCATCACTTACCACTTTATGAAACAGCTTCCTACCTGGTCTCCCTACTTCCATCTCTGCACTCAATTCTAGGTACTAGGGACACAACAGTGAATATGATTGTCAAAACCTCTGCATTATTGAAATCTGTATTCCACTGATATGTAGGAACCATCATTATTCCAGAATTAAACAAAGTCATGAAGTAGGAAGTAAAAACATTAAAGAGGCGATTGTGAGAAAGATTTTGGTCCTGGTTTACAAATTCTTAGAGCATTCACCATAATAACAAGAACAATAATAAAACTTAAATTTGTAGAATCATTTCCATTTTCAAAAGTGCTTACAGTATACAGAACATAGGTCCTGTGGAAGATATGATACCACTTTTTCCTCTCTAGATCTGTTTACTTCTCTTACATGCCAGAGTGTCCAGATGATTTAAAGTTATTCAGAAAGTTATTTTGGCATTATATTTCTACTATTAACATACTACTGTACACTCATTTAAATAAACATTAGGTTAAATCCAAACCCTCTTCAAGTTTAAACAACTTTGGAAGCTGTAAAAGCCACAACAGAAAAAATATGACTAACAATATTTTTATTTTTTCTAAGTAATCAACCTATTTAACAAATGGCACAGAAAAAAAGTCATCAGATTATCACAAATCACTTTTAAAAACTATACTTCTTTTGTTAAATCACAAGATTAAAGTCAAGAAATTATGTTTGAGCAATAAGACTCATAGTTATTTTAATGAGTCATATTTCTGGGACTAGGTGGAATGGAGAAAGCAAATAGAAAGACACTATTTAGAGGGCATTACTTACTGATTTTTCCTTTTGTATTACCACCTCTCAGACCAACACCCAGCCCACTATCCACCATAGATTTCTTCTATCAGCAGAAAGTCCTTGTAATCAGGAAAAGCCTAGCTTGATTCACCAAAAAAGAATGGATTGCAGGGTTTTTTTAGAAAGTATTTCAGAGTTGATGCTATCAATCTCCCTGACTCAGCCTCTTTTGAATTGTCTCCAAAGATTCTTAAAACTCTCCTTATAGGGGCATCTCTGTGGCTCAGTCAGTTAAACGTCTGCCTTCGGCTCAGGTCATGATCCCAGAGTCCTGGGATCAAGCCCCACATCGGGCCCCCTTCTCAGTGGGTAGTCTGCTTCTCCCTCTCCCTCTGCTGCTCCCCCTGCTTGTGCCCTCATTCTCTGTCAAATAAATAAATAAAATCTTAAAAAAAAAAAAACCTCTGCTTATAATTTGTGGACATGTTTTTCTCATTCAGGCATTTAAAAAACTGCCTCTTAAGACCCATTTTTCTTTGTCAACATCCCACCTTATCACAACACATAATTATGAATATATTCTTTCTAAATTACTCTTCCATTTAGGTTCTTCAGAAATTCTGGTTATTATGCTAGAAAAAAAACAGGAAAAAAATGTTAAGAGTATGAAAAGTATCAAGTATAAAACATAAAAGTAATTATAGGCTATTTATACATAAGATATGTTTCATGTACTATAAATATTATAGATAAAATGGGAATCAACTTTACTCAGAGGTTGCTTTGGATGGATTTTTCTCTTCATTTTGAGGCAATTTATAATAAAGCAACAAGATGGGGGCACCTGGGTGGCTCAGTCGTTGAGCGTCTGCCTTCTGCTCGGGTCATGATCCCAGGGTCCTGGGATCGAGCCCCGCATCAGGCTCCCTGCTCCAGGGGAAGCCTGCTTCTCCCTCTCCCACTCCCCCTGCTTGTGTTCCCTCTCTCACTGTGTCTCACTCTGTCAAAAAATAAATAAAATCTTAAAAAAAAAAAAAGCAACAAGATGTCTTAATGTATTTTATCATCGTATTTCTTAATTGCAACATTTGTGCTATTTTATTTTTAAATAAGCCAGAATTGAAAGCATTGTAGAAATATTTATTAAGTTAAAATAAAAGACACTTTAACCCCAGTAGACACATTGTTCTAAGTAATGCGTATTAGTAATGGTTTAAAAATATATATGAACCATTATATTTTATAGTTGAATGATTCTTATGTTGATGCCATCATTACAACAGTAATCTTCTTGAATTATTGTTCAATTCTTTAGAGATGTTGAATATATATACATATTCTTCTAGGCTGTCATTTAGCCGTCAATCTCAAAATGTCAGTGTTTTAAAGGATAAGTAAGAAAACAGACAGATGTGCTGTACGATAGAGGCATTGGTACCTGGAGGTACACACACCCTCTGTGTACTTTTCATCACCTGCTGTGTTTAATCATGTAGCTTGTATATAGAAAAGTAAATATTCATAGTACAGTAGTCCCTTCAAAGCAAAAAAAAAAAAAGGTCAGATTTATGAACCCTCAAGATAGGCGAATTATTGGCTTTGAAATGAGAATTCTTTTGTGCAACCAAGTTCACCACTGAACCTTCACAACTTAGTGTCCACTAGAAACTCTTCGAGATCTCACTTCCCTACAGTCCTTATTTTGTTTCATCCCAGATATTGTGAATAGTAGGATGACAGTGTATGGATATGATACTCCTTCCTTCAAGATACTAAATGTCTTCTAATTTTACAATTTCGTGGACTTGGTCTTTTTCTTATGTATAATACTGATTGGGACTAATTCAAACGCTTAAGAGATGGAAATGGTTTTAGAAAATGTTATTTAACTTATTTAGCAGAGGGAAGTAAATATTAAATAACACCTCTTCTCAGAATCACAGGGTTATCTATAACTTGTCTGCCAATAACAAGAAATAGGTGAGTCAGCTTCCCTTTCAAATATTATGCTTCATCCCCTCTCCTAAAAAAGACGCAAGAGTGCAGCTTTATGATCTAGGTTTATTTCCTTTTATTTCCTATTTAATTATCTTTGTATATTTAGAAAGTATTCAAAAGCAAATCCATGTAATCTAAAATCTGATGTAGGAACTAATTGCTAGAATAGATATAATGTACACTAGTGTGCTAAATGGCCTACTATACTTTCCCTGCCCCAGTCCTGGAATTAACCACTCCTCCAAGGAGCCTTGATTCCCTTAGTTGAATAATAATATTTAAAAACTGAGATCTGGATGCTAGGTGTGCTCATTTCTACAGTGGAAGCACTGTTTATAAGCTCTTTAACATGACAGAGCAGTGAAATATGTGAAGATACTAACCCATATATCTGTACACATCTATATTTATGTCTGTACATATGTATATGTTTAGCTCTATCTACCTATCCACCTATCTATCTATCCATCTATCCACTACCTACCTTTCTGTCTGTGTGTGTGTGTCTCTCTCTGGCTATTATCTATCTTCATATTGATAACTTCAATCTAACCCTGCACCAAAATTTTATCCTCCTCTATTATTTATAACTTCTCAAGCAGTAAAAATCATGACTATCAATACCTAAAATGTGCTTATTTGTTGAACACTAGCATACATACAGTTTAAAATGTACTAAGCCACAGCCCTGTGAGAAACAATTTTGCCAAAAACAGGACATTGTTTGGGTTCTTTTCATCTTTAGCTTTCCAGTATCCAGTTAAACCCTATTTGCCAAAGTTAAGACATGTCTCTTCTCCCAACCCACTTTACTGTGGTTAGAAGATTCATTTGTAATTTAGATTTGTTTGCTACGATCTGCATTCCTTGTTGGATTCCCTCTACATTATAGTTGATCTTGTTAAATTTAAATTTATGTGTGGCAGAATATGTTCTTTGTGGTATACAGTTGTATGAGTTTTGAATCATGTATCCAATACTACATTTCCTTATAGAAGACCTTCATCAACCAAAAATCCCTCCACAGTTTCCATTTATAGTCAACCACGTCCCCAAACCCTCAAATCCGGGCAAATATTCATCTGTTTTTCCATTCCTCTAGTTCCACCTTTTCCAGATTGTCATATAAATAGAATCAAAGACTATGAAATCTTATGAATATAGCTTCTTTGACTTAGTAGAATGCATTTAACACGTATCCAAGTTTTGCTTGAATCAGTAGTTCTATCTTTCTATTGCTGAGTAGCAGTCTGTTGTATGAATGTACCACAATTTGTTTATTCATTCAGTTTGAAGGACATCTGCGTTGTTTCCAACCCTTACCAATTACAAAGAAAGCTTCTATGAAAACTCAAGTTAAGGTTTCTGTGTGAAGATAAGTTTCCATTTCTCTTAGAGAATTATCTAGGAGTGGGATTGCCAGGTTATATGGTAAGAGTATGTTTAACATTATAAGAAACTGACAAACTGTTTCTCCAAAATGGCTGTACAGTTTTGCATTGCAGTAACAATGTATTGTAGCAGTATCTCATTGTAGTTTTACTTTGCATTTCTTTATGTATAATGGTATTAGTAGTTTTTCATATGCTTATTTACCATACCTTCACTGGGAGTATGTCTGTTTATAATGCTTACCTATTTTTTTAATTCAGTATTTTTTATTTCTTTTTTTTTAAGCTTTTATTTACTGATTTGACAGAGAGAGAGACAGCGAGAGAGGGAACACAAGCAGGGGGAGCGGGAGAGGGAGAAGCAGGCTTCCTGCCGAGCAGGGAGTGCGATGTGGGATCGTGATCTGAGCCGAAGGCAGACGCTTAACCAACTGAGGCACTCAGGTGCCCCAGTATTTTTATTTCTTATTGTCCTTTATATATTTTGAATAAAAGGTCTTCATGAGAAATGTGATTTACAAATATTTTCTCTGATTCTGTGACTTTTTTCACAGATTGAAAGTTTTCAATTTTAACAAAGCCCAATTCATTTTTTCTTTACATATTATATTTTTATTATCATGTTTAAAAATTCTTTTACTAACCCAAAGTCATGCAAATTTTCTCCTATATTTTCTTCCAGATATTTTATACAATTACATTTCTATTTAGGTCTATGATCAATTTGGGGTTAATTTTTGTGTAAGGTGTGAGTGTAGTTCAAGTTTAATTTTTTTTCATATGGACATCCAGCTTTTATAGCACTGTTTCTTGGGAAAACTATTCTTTCTCCATTGAACTGCTTTACAACTTTGTCAAAAGCTATTAGTTTATATTTATGCAGCTCTATTGCCAGATTCCCTATTCTATTCCACTGATCTATTTTTTCTAGAACATTAATCAATAGCATACTATTCATTCATTCATTCATTCATTATTGTGGCTTCAAAACAATTCTTAAAATCAGTTAGCATTATTCTTCCAATTTTTTTTTTTTCCCAAATCTGTTTCAGTTGTTCTAGGTCCATTGCATTTCCATGGGTATTTTAGAATCAGATTTTTCAAAGCTACATAAAATGCTGCTGGGATTGTGATTGGGACTGAGTTAAATCCACAGATCAACTTGGGGAGAATTGACATCTTAACAATATTAAGTTTTTCAGCCATGAAAATGCTATATATATCCCCATTAAATTATGTCTTCTTTAACTATTGTCAAGAGTGTTTTGTTTCTTCTCTTCCAATATATACGCTTTTTTAAAAAATATTTTTATTCCATGGGGTTCCTGGGTGGCTCAGTCAAGCATCTGACTTGATTTTGGTTCAGGTTATGATCTCAGGGTCCTGAGATTGAGCCCGTGATGGTCTCCCCACTCAGTGGAGAGTCTGCTTTCCCTCTCTCTCTCCTTCTGCCCTCCCCCACCCCACTCATGCATTTTTTCTCTCTCTCTCTAAAATAAATAAATCTTTAAAAAATATTTTGATTCCTGTGTACTTAACATACAGTGTTATATTAGTTCCAGGTGTACAGTATGGTGATCTAGCAATTCCATATACTACTCAGTGTTCATCAAGATACGTGTACACTTAATCCCTTTATCTATTCCACCAGTCCCTTCACCCACCTCCCCACTGGTAACCATCAGTTTGTTCTCTATATTTAAGAGTCTATTTTTTGGTTTGTCTCTTTTTCTTTCCTGTGTTCATTTCTTTTGTTTCTTAAATTCCACATATGAATGAAACCATATTGTATTTGTCTTTCTCTGGCTTATTTTGCTTAGCATTATATTCTCTAGAGCCAACCATGTTGTTGCAAATAGCAAAATTTCGTTCTTTTTTATGGCTGAATAATATTCATATACCACATCTTCTTTATTCATTCATCTATTGATGGATACTTGGGCTGTTTCCATAATTTGGCTGTTGCATATAATGCTGCAATAAATATAGGGTGTGCATATGTCCCTTTGAATTAGTGTTTTTGTATTATTTGGGTAAATACCAATAGTCTGATGGCTGGATCATAGGGTAGTTCTATTTTTAATTTTTTAAGGAAACTTCATACTGTCTTCCACAGTGGCTACACCAGTTTGCATCCCCACCAACATTGCATGAGGGTTCCTTTTTCTCCACATCCTGATCAACACTTGTTGTTTCTTGTGTTGATGATTTTAGCAGTTCTGACAGGTATGAGGTGATATCTCATATGGTTTTTTTATTTTCGGATGATGCGTGTTAAGTATCTTTTCATGTGACTGTTGGTCATCTGGACTTGTTCTTTGGAGAAATGTCTGTTCATGTCTTCTGCCCATTTTTTTAACTGGATTATTTGTGGGGTTTGTTTTTTTTTTTTTGGTGTTGACTTGTATAAGTTCTTTATATATTTTGGATACTAACCCTTTACTGGATACGTATTTGCAAATTTCTTCTTCCATTCAGTAGGTTGTCTTTTAGTTTTGTTAGTTGTTTCCTTTCCTATGCAGAAGCTTTTTATTTTGATGTAGTCCCAATAATATATTTTTGCCTTTGTTTCCCTTGTTTCAGGAGTCATATATAAAAAGATACTGTTACAGCTGATGTCAGAGAAATTACTGCCTGTGCTCTCTTCTGGAATTTTTATGGTTTCAGGTCTCACATTTAGGTGTTTAAACCATTTTAAGTTTATTTTTGTGTATGGTTTCAGGAAGTGGTCCAGTATCATTCTTTTGCATGTAGTTGTCCAGTTTTCCCAACACAATTTGTTAAAGAGACTTTTTCTCATTGCATATTCTTGCTTCCTTTGTCAAAGATTAATTTACTATAAAATCCTGGGTTTATATCTGGGCTTTCTATTCTGTTCTATTGATCTATGTCTCTGTTTTTATGCCAGTACCAAACTGTTTTGATTATTATAGCTTTGCAATACAACTTGAAATCTGATATTGTGATACCTCCAGCTTTGTTTCTTTTTCTTAAGATTGCTTTGGCTATTTGGGGTCTTTTGTGGTTCCATACAAATTTTAGAATTGTTTGTTCTATTTCTGTGAAATATGATCTTCGTATTTTGATAGGGATTGCATTAAATGTATAGATTGCTTTGGGTAGTATGGACATTTTAATATTTGTTCCTCTAATCTATGAGCATGGAATATCTTTCCATTTATTTGTGTTGTCTTCAATTTCTTTGATCAGTGTTTTATAGTTTTCACAGCTAACAACATAGTCAATGGTGAAAAACTGAGAGCTTTTCCCCTAAGGTCAGGAATAAGACAAGAATGTCCACTCTCACCATTTTTATTCAACGTATTACTGGAAGTCCTAGCCACAGCAATCAGACAAGATAAAGGAAAGAAGGCATCCAAATTGGTAAGGAAGAAGTAAAACTTTTACTATTTGCAGATGGCATGATAATATATATAGAAAACTCTAAAGACTCTACCAAAAAACCACTAGAACTAATATGTGAAATCAGTAAGGTTGCAGAATGCAAAATCAGTGTACAGAAATCCAATGCATTTCTATACACTAATAATGAAGCAGCAAAATGATAAATTAAGATAATAATTTAAATAATAATAATACCCAGGAATAAATTCAACCAAAAGGGTGAAAGACCTGTATAATATATATGCCTTTTTTTTTTTAATTTTCTTATTGCACTATGATTTTGAGTAGGATGTTGAAGAAGTAATGAGAAAAGACATCCTTGCTTTGTTTCCAATATGGGCATGGCAGCGATGGGGCCAAAAGGGTGAAGTACATCCATATTTCACTATTAAGTATAATGTTAGCTTGAAAAGTTTTTGTATATGCCATTAATCAGATTAAAGAAGTTGTCTTCTAAAAAATAATAATAAAATAAATAAAAATAACCCTAAATTTAAAAAAATAAGTTGCCTTCTCTTTCAAATCTGCTGAGATTTTTAAACATGAATGAATGCTATACTTGAGTTTTTTATATCATATTTTGATGGATGATCATATGAGTTTTCTTCTTAATTAATATGACAAAATAAGTTGATTAATTTTTTAATGTAAAATCAGCTTTGCATACTTGGAATAAACCTCAGTCATGCTACATTATTCTTTTTATATATTTTTGCATTGGATTTTTTTATATTAGGTTGTGTGTGTTTGCATCTTTGTCCATAAGGATTACTGTTCTGTAAGTTTTGTTTCTTCTAATCTTGGTTTTGTTTTTGGTATTAGTGTAATTATGGCTCCATAAAATGAGTTAGAAAGTGTTATCTTCTATTTTATTATTTTATTTTATTTT